ATCTCCTTTATGAAGTCTCACTTGAGAGACCCACCTTTATGAAGTCTTTCCTGATGTTCTCGACTATCTAAGTCTCGCCTAAGGGATTCTACTATCTAAGTCTCGTCAGAGGGATTCAAATGTCTAGTCTCTCTTGAGAGACTTGCCTCTACGAAGTCTCATTTGAGGGACTGGATTACCTATGTCTCATCAGAGGGACTTGCTTGATAAATAAATTACTTTTTTCCTGAGTTAAATCACTTCACCCATTCTAAGGGCTCATGCTTAAGGGATTGTATGCTGAGATAATTTTATTGAGTCATAAAAGACAACCCATAGAAAAAATAAATTAAGTGTAGAAATGTTGGGAGAGCGCCCGGAGCTAGGCTTGGTCACTCTAAATTGAGCTTGACCATCGGAGCTGGTATATGTGATATGTTTGACATACATGGCAAGCATATAGTGATAAGAGAATTAGTCAAACACAATAATGGAAGAGAAAATTGTTCTCGTTATAATGAAGGATTAATTGGGTCTTCTATTACTCCCAATATCTGACTCATTGAGCCTTAAATATATATATCATTTCTATGAGGGGGAAACACTACTACAAAACGCACAAACAACAATACCAAAGTCACCATGGTTCTTTCAACCACCGTGGTGACATCTTTAAAATCAGGCGCTAACTTGTTATTTTATTTTTTAATTATAAATTTTTAGGATATAATAATTGTTGTCGATATAACGCTTATGATACAATCAAGCTTTCATGGATTCGAACATCAACGTTGTCAAAAATTTTATTCATTTAGCGTTAAGGCGCTCCTTTCTTTTTCATTTATTTTTAAATAAAAAATAAAAGAGATATCACTACGAATGTTTAGTTCAACCATTGTTATATAATTTGCTTTTATTTAAAACTTCATTACGGTTATTCTTGTCAACCGTGATGAAAAATGATATTTTTTTAATAGGCTTAAATGTATTTTTGGTCTCCCTATTTAAGTAATTTTAACTTTTTAATCCCCCTATTTCAAAATCCATTTTTTTTTGTCCTTCAAATTTACTTTACTTGGGATTTTTTTAGTCCCCGTCCACTTTTGCAGTGGCAATGATAACTATATTTAAAAATTATTTTTAATGATTTGGCATTAATTACTTGGATTGTTTAATAATAAATATATTTTATATAATTATTTAATAATCATTTAAATTAATTAATTGAAGAATTTTATTTTATTTAAAATTTTATGGGCCGAAAGCTAATCTCTGATGGCATCTCAAGGACCCAAGATGATATTTTGGATTCACTATTGAATATTATAAGTAGTAATATTGTTTCTTACGTAAACGATGTGAGACTTTTACATCTTCATTACTCTGCTGTGTTACAGCAACATCGATATAAGAGTGTTACAAAATATATATAATTTTACATCAGCAAAAACATCTACATTTAGGAACTAACTAACCTTGTATATAATTATGTGGAAGAGATTGAGATATCTATGCAGGAAACATGAACAAGAAAATCCATCCACTATAACAACAACATAAAAAGAGGAGCCAAATGACTGTAAAACCAATTTCATTTGGAAAACACTTTGTCCCTTTGCTCTTGGAATTGCAACACTCTTATAATGAAAATTATAATGAATCTTTATTGTTACATTAACACAAGCTTTCATTGACTATGCATTTTTGGATTATCACATGTCCATTGATAATGACACTTCAAGTTCATCAAAACCAATCAACTCAAAATCAACATAAGGATTCCAAACAAAGACATGACAATCAAATTCAAGAGCTAGATTCTAACCAAGTTTCACAACATGAAATAATTCACGAGCAGCAATAGATAATCATTTAGAAGAAGTGTGTTAAATTTCATATGCAATGCGAGAAGGGAGTTCAAAATCTTCTGCAATTATTTTGTAAGAAATGTGGATATAAATGGAATTGTATCATTGTGGGTTAACGTTGTTGTTATGCTTCAATAACATATCACAAAGACGAGGAGGTTATAAGTTGGAACAGAAATATTGTTTTGTATATTGTAAAAGTCCCACGTCGTTTACGTAAGAAACAATATTATAAAATTCAATAATGCATACCAAATGTCATCTTGGGTTGTTGAGTAATTCCATTAGTGATTGGGCTTCGGCCATAAATTAGTCATAAATTTTTAAATAGTAAATTCCTTAAACTAATTAATTTAGATGATTAACTATTAAATAATTATATAAAAAACATTAATTATTAAATAATCCAAGTAATTAATGCCACGTCATTAAAAATAATTTTTAAATCCAGTCATCATTGCCATGTCTGCAAAAGTGGAGGGGGACCAACAAAATCTCAAACAAAGTAAATTTGAAGGACCAAAAAACTGAGTTTTGAAATAAGGGGATTAAAATTTTAAAATTACTTAAATAGAGGGACCAAAAGTGTATTTAAGCCTTTTTAATATATAAATGAAAATATATGTTACCTAGTTCATAACATCTGTTTCTCTCTAAATAAAATCCTAACCAAAAAAACTCTTAACACAATCCTCTCCTCTCACAAATCTTAACCAATACTGTAACAAGGGAATAGAGAAAAGAATCTTAAAGGATATCTGACCGGAGCAACGTTCGGCACAAACTCATATAGCGACAAAGATGATATGTTCTCCTGCTCTCTTCTTTCTACTATTCTTTTGGATGTTGTTGATGTTTAGAATTTAGGATTATTGTTTTAGGGTTTGTTTTTAGGATGTCGTGCAAAACATTTTGTGTATGTATGTATGTATATAGGTGTATAACAATGTTATGTTATGGACGTGGAAAACATTATGTTGTTGATGTTTTACGGTTAAGTTTGAAGTTTGTTGTGTTTCCTTACAGATACATGGTGATGATGGTGATAACAAGCGTAAGGTGGTAGCAAGTGTATAATATGGTGATGGTACATATGGTTTTTGTTGCTATGGGAAAAATATAAGAAGTATGAAGTTATTGTATAAACTTCATCCATCTTATATTTCTTTTTCATAGCATCACAAACTAGATGAACTTAATATATCTTGATTTGTTACAGTTCCACGATTATTTTCAATAAAAGGTGTGTTCGTGACTCAATGTATGTGTGTTCTTGACTCAATGTATTTTGGTTTGTTACAATCCCACTTAAAATTTCTTATATATCTTAATTTGTTATAGTTCCACTTAATATTTCTTTGTGTTGTTGTTAGTGTTTTGTTACTAAAATGTATGTTATTTCTCAACAAAAGAACAAAACATTGCTAAGTCATAAGAAAAAGGCTTCTTGTGACTTATAAATGTTTTGTTATTTAAATTGTTATACAAGTTGACAGTAGATGAAGTTTAGTTTATTATATACTATGTATATTCTTTGTTTCGCTAACCTTTTAATGAAAATACATTCATTTAAATTGACATAGAAACTTATGATCTAAAAATTAAGATGTATTTGAAAACCAAGCTATATTAACCAATATTTTCCGAATTGAATACGTCTCATTATGCATATTTTATATTCTTTAACACATAATATATGGTTCAATGGTATGATTACTTCAAAACATCGATATCTACAATTCTAGTTTACCCCATTGTCGTTTCTTATCACCGTAATTGTTAAGATCATGATTGTTATGATGATAAGTCATCATAACAATCAGGATGATAAGCGGCGATGATGAGGTAAACAATAATAAAATATATTGATGCAATGAAGGAATCCCACCATTGGACCATATTTGTGTTAAAGAACATAAAATATGCACGATGAGACGCATGCAATTCAGAATACAATGGTGTGTTTAATTTGATTTTCAAGAATAGTTTAATTTTCAGATTATATAGTTCATTACCAATTTTAATATTTGTATTTCTTTAATGAGGTGTATGGTAAAACCACTGATATTCATTGGTATATAATAAACTATAGGTACGTTCATAATGGTTTTCTATAGTAACCGTGATCTAATGTCATTTATTTGTTGCATTGGGTTTCGAACTCAATACCTATAAATATATATATCACAATGCTTGATAAGCATAATCGTTGTGATATCACACACGCTTTTCAGTATATTATAATTGTCTCAGGACCGTGATTGATAGTAACGAATTTAAATAACGCTCTACACAACAACGTCTGGACCTGTGTAATTATATGTATTTTCCAACCGTTGTTAAATGAGTTTTTTATAACAGGGAAAGAATCTTCAATCTTTGTCCTAAAAGTCATACACATAACTTCTCAGGACCCTACGTGAGTTAGCCCTAAACAAAGTCAAATACCCTAACACCACATTAGTCCTACACAATAAATCGTTGTTCTATCGTTGTACTATTTTAACAACTACACAAATATGCATACATTTTTATATAATAATATAAATTAAAGTATATAAATATATATTGTGTGTACATGAAGTAAGATGTGTACTAAAATACTCGCACTCCCATGTTTATTTTAGTGGATAATTACACATGTTTATCTCCATACGTATTTTACGAATGTTGCATTTATTTTTTTTATTAATATTTACGAGATATGAATCCAATTATCATCCATAATCAGTTGTTACCAATTAAATAATGCTTTATAAAAAAATTGAAAATTACAACATCGGTCACAATTAAAAATAATTAAGTGTGATGTTGCGAATTCAAACTCTTATTCCTACACTTGATATCTCTACACATCTACTCGTGAGTTCGAACAAGTGCTACTATTGCTTGTACCAAAACCAACTACTAATATTGTATACAATGGCCTTATGCACTCATTATTATCAACACAAAAAAAATAAAAATAATGTTACATTAATTTCTGAAGAGTCCACGTCATCAGTCATCATAATATCTTATAAAGCAAACCAAGTTTGATTCAATCACAAGCAAAACGAATTTCTCTTCTTTTTTTTCTTTCTTTTTTCTGAGATTCTATCTGAGTTTGTTACATTGGCGGGGAGCAAGAAAGTGAAAGAAAATTCAAGAAACATGACCTCTTCCAGTAGCACACAACCACAACTTCCACAGCAACCTCAAGTTCAACAGCAGCAACCTCTTCACATTCAAGTATTCTTTCTTTAATCTTACAATATTCTTGAGTTTATACCATTGTTGTCTATAGATGATTACAGAATTCCTTTGTAATGCTGCTATGTAATGGCATTGGTTTATTCTATTGCATGTTTAATCTATAGAATGCTAAAGCCAAGTTGGTTGTTTCAGGTGGTACAGGCACAAGATTCAGTGGTAGGACAAGCAGTGAGATGGATATTCATGATTCTTTTCTGCATGCAACTGTTCTTGATTTCAGCCTTAGTGATTTTCATCACCAGGTATGATCGTACCGTAGACTCTTCAACAACCCACCATTTCCACCCTCACAAGTGGTACCCTCCACTTCTAGCATCAATAGTATGTGCAGGAATTCTTGACTTTACATGGCATTGTATCGTTGCATGTTACCCGAGAGATGCACTCATGGCATCATTTTGGTTGAGTCCACTGTTAACATTGGAAATGGCATTTATGTTATGTTAATGGGTACCCTTTACTGCTGTTTTCTAGTGTATGGAATTGGAGGCGCGAGAGGAAACAGAACCACACAAGCAGACATATACATCTTACTGATCATTCTGAGCCTTGGATGGACTATGCAGGTTATGAAGAATGCAATGCGGGTAACAATTTCATGGGTCCAGTATACACGTTCTACAGACCATATTGGCATGAACACTAGAGTTGCATTTTGCTACACACTCAAACACTTAAATGGAAGTGTTTCTCTAGGCTCCATTCCCGTCCCGGTCATCGAATTCTTTCGAGATTTCGCACGATTATTAAATCTATGTCTAGATGAAGATGATTTTTCATGCGCAACGAAACTTGCAGCGCATCTTATGACATGGGGGAATATATGGGGTTTTGTGCACGTTGGAATTTATCACAAAGGGTTTGTCCAAGCTTCTTCTGATACATGGGGGCTGTTGATGAGCAGAGTTGGATTACAGGAACTGATAGATTTGGATCTGACAGGTGCATTCTGTTTCCTCAGTGGTATGCTTTTTTCATTGGCTATTTCATTGTAAGAACTTAGTTACAATTATTGAATAGAAACTATCTTTTCTATGTTACTTGTGTGTGGCTAACATAAAACATTGTTGGAATGTGTGTTTGCAGTGTAGGTTGGCAATTGCATGGCCACAAGCATCTGTTTCGGCTTACTATGTAGCCTATGCGCAGAATCCAGAGAACTTTCCATTTGAATCAACTATTAACGAACGCTTGAACCAGTTTCCAATAGCTTCACAAAGTCCCAGTACACCAGAGATGAAGGCAATTCAGGAGGTGTTTCGCAGAATTCTATGAAGTAACAGTAAAGCAGGAACAGCTGATAATATAGGATAAGACCCTGATATCTTGACTTACTTTTGAAGTAGTCTTCAACTATGATAAATTCTTTGATAATGTTGGTACTTTACACATCTACATGAATAGAGATGAAACATGACTTTTGAAGTTTTCTTTGATTTTTGTGTGTATTTTGATGTTCAAAAAGCACATAGTTGAAGCATGATCAGATACTAGGTTTTGTGGTAAGCAACACTCATTCAAAATGCCTTTTTAGTTAATTGAAGCGGTAGCTCGCGCAAAACTTGCATAAAATCAACTATAAGTAACTTTCATGTAAATTTATTTAAGGTAAATCGTACTGTATGACAAAAGAATATTGCGAGTTTACATAATTAAGAACTTAAGACTGATCTGGTTTGTAGTTGTAGAAAACCCTGACAAACAAAATTGAAAATGATTATGACTTACAAGCAATGACAACCAAAACATTACATGCTGGTGGTACAACAAATTCTAAAAAGTCAGACTTTGATCATTTGGGTCCCAGATGACCTCGTCCCCCGCATTCTGTACACATTATATTACCAGTTCCCCCGCAACCTACATGAGTGAAATTATCAAATCAAAAACATTAGTCAGCAGCAAACACGTTCGGCATTATACAATTCTCATCGTGCAAGTGCATCTTTTCTAAGTGCAAGGTGCTCGAGATTGAACAGGAAATAGAATATACCTAGGCAACGAACTTTCACGATGATGCCCTGGCTTTCCATTATGGAGTCAACATATAGACCAGAACCAGCACAAGTGGCGCAGAGCATGGCACCTTTGGCATGGCAATCAGTGCATCGAGAATTGTTACCAATTTCTTTCTCGGCCAATGATAACCCAACAGGCTTTTCAATGATTTCTTCTGGGATAGCTTTATCATAACAAAACAGATTTTCGAGATCACTTCTGCGTCTGTTCTCATCTTTCTTTAAACTTGACACAGACTGAAACACAAGGAAATAATTAGCTATGACACTCATTAGATATAGAACAATCTTTTCCATACCTCTAGTATGACAGCAAATGTACATGTACTACATTGAGTTATCTAAATTGTCAAAAATCGAGAAGTGGAACATCAAATGTGCTTATATAGAAAGATCTACGGTTGTTACTAAAACGGTAGTATATTTGCAAAATGATCCTTTCCTCAGCCAACAACGACAAGACCATACAAGTTCAAAACTGGTGAAATTAAAAAAATCACAAAATCACAAAAATAAGTTGACAACACAGCACACAAATATACCATAAGTAGTCCCAAATTGATGCAGAAATAGAGAAATACAAGGTCCAAAAGTACTAAAGAGCGGGGATAGACCAGATCCGACTCGACTAAACCAGAATTTCAAATGGAGGGATAAATTGACAAATTGCGAATATATTCATTACAAGTTCAAAATTGATGCACAAAGAGTTAGGATTCAGCTCGTCTGAGTTGGATTCATTCACCTCATTGGCCTATTAATATTATCATTCAGATATTGCATTTAGAATATAAAAATATAACATAAAACTACTACGAAATTGCTGTTAGCAGTTTCCATGAGAAGATAAAACGTAAGATAACTGACCCCATGAGAAGAACAGGTAGATGCTGAACCATTGTTATTAGGGGAAAGGAGATGAACTTTGAAATTGGACCCAAAAGTGAATGTTTTACAGGGATTCGAAATCTTCAACGCTGAAGGGTTTGGACAAAGAGAGAATTTTGATGTTGTCATTTGAAGAGTTGGTGAGGACATTGGTGGTGGATGAACATGTACTGCTCAGATTTTTGGTTTCATCCATACAACTTACAACAACCTCGTACTCATCGCTTGTTTCAGTAACCGGGTTCTCGTTGTTCACGTTAATGACCCGTGGGTACCCGGATTATGAATCTGAATAGGGATTTCGATGTAGTTTATGGGTTTAAGAAAGCCCGTTTGTTTTGGAGCCCACTAAAAGAAAAAGTTTGAAGCTCTATGGGTGACTCATCATAATTTCTTAATCTACTCCCTTTTATTTTTATAGACCTCCCAAAGTACATCAACGAAAAATGCATAGTTCAAACTTATATAGTAGATCGATTAATCTGGTTCGTATTACGGAGACACTTGTAATATTTAAGTGTTGTTTCTATTAAAAATTGAAGTTAATATTTCTCGAATGACGTCTTTTATAAAGATTTGATTGTTATTCGAGTCTAAGTGTTTGAATTAAATTTATTTTTTTAAAATGAGTAAATAATATGTTGCAAATTTGAATCATATTTTAACATTTAATGTTTTTGCAGTGCTAATATTCGAGTTGACTTAATAAAATTATTGCATTCTCCTTTTTAATTATAAGAAACTGAGATAATAAATTATATGAAACTTAAAAGCACTACTAGTAGTGAAACTATCAAAAATTTGATACACTCAGTCACACTTGCGGATTTTCACATGATTTTGTGGGGGGGAGAAAAACAAATTCTAAATAAAATATATATATTAAATAATTATAAACTAATACATATAAAATACAATATGTAATAGAAAGAAACGTTTAGTGATGTTTGCCGGATGTTGGATAAATTTTGATCAAATCTTTTATTTTCTCTCTTTTAAAATAATTGATATAGTTGACATTTTCACATAATTAAAATTTTATAATAAATTAGAGAAAATTTAATTTTACAAAATTATTTTTATTAATTAATAATATAATCAAATTAATATTAATAGTAAATGTAAAAATAATAAATAAGAATATTTGTTAAAAAGTATAATTAAAAGATTAAAAATAAAATCATATTAGTATTTAAAAATGACAAATATTTTAAAATAAATAATTTTTTTAAATGTGAAAATTATTTTAGAACATAATATTGAATTTAATTAAATTTGTGTGGGCTTGATTAAGTTAAAAATTCATATATAATCAAGTATTAGTGAGTCGATTTTTTTTACAAGTGATTTACTAAAGGAAATTTTTTTTTTACACTTCTACAGAGTGGAGGAAATTCTTGAATTTTCGAAAATATTTTTTTGAAAATGTATTTTTGAATGCACTTCAAGTCTAGGTGTTTTAGAGATATATTTTCGAACGCATTTAATTTGATATTTTGGAGTAAATTCAGAAATATATTTCTAAAAATACTCTATTTTTAGTTAAATGTTAAATGTAAACATATATGTATATTTCTGGAAGTGCATTTTCGAAAATATGCGTCTTATATCACCAGCTGCATGAACTATTTCATCGTGTTCATTTTCTACTCAAAACCCAAAACCTTATCAAATACTCAATCAATTTTTCGTCTCTAAAAGAAGTTTCAAGTGGTCTATCATGTCAAAGAGAGCACATAAATCTGTAATTTAAGCTAAAAATTTCTCATTTCATCTCTAAATTCATTGCATTTATGCTGTTTTTGAGATCAAAGCGACGTCACTTCGGAAATGTATTTCCGAAATCAACCTAACCTGTTTCGGAAATACATTTTCGAAACTTCCCCTGTTACAGAAACAAAATTATTAAGAATTTATATGTTTCTATTCGTGTTAGCTAGATAGTGCACTCCAACATGTTTCTCAAGGATGTTTTAGTCAACGTGAATAATGATATTAAGTCGGATGCTAAGTCGGATGAGGTGAAGAACGAAGTTAAATCGATTATTGTCGACATAGATGTTGGACACCAATTTTCAAATGCTAAAGTTTTCAATAATTAGCAACAATTGCTTGATTATGTACGAATGAAAACTAGCAAACTCAACTTTAGTAATGTGATTGGAAGGTTCGACAATGGCACTAATAGAAGGCAAGCATTTGTAACCATGAGATGCAGGAGAAGTGGAAAATATGTTCCAAAAGTTCGAAATTTAAAATATGATGACATCAGATCGAGAAAATGTGAGTGTTTGTTCAAATTGCGCAGATCATGTAGGATGAATGATACATGACAGTTTTCTGTCATTTTCGATAAACATAATCATGCGTTGGACACCAAGCTACAAGGTCATCCAATTGTAGGTCGACTTAAGTCGGAGGTGAAGGAAATTATTTCGGAAATATCGATAATCAAAATTGTGCTGAGAAACACTTGCAGATTGAAACGACCACAAAATGTTTCAAATATCAAGCAGGTATACAATGAACGTTATAAATAGCTTATTGCGAGTAGAGGTCTAATGTTTAAAATGCAATATTTGTTGAAATTTTTGGACAATAACCACTACATTTCAAGGTACAGAATGTGTGATGATAAAGTTAGTGTCTATGATATTTTTTGGACTCATCCGAAAAGTATCAAGTTGTTTAACATATTTTCGACTGTCCTTATAATTTATTCAACGTATAACACTAGAAAATCGGAGGATAGTCCAGGTTGAATATTGTTCACCATCACTTGACACTGATGGAAAGATCAAGTTCACCAAGTTTGAGCTAAAGACGGATGACGATTTACAAGTTATGTTGAGTACTTTTCGCCAATACTCTACTAAAAGTTTGATTGAGTTGGATGCAAAAAAATCAGAAATCCGCTGAAAATGTTATCAACATGTTGCAACGTCCTCAGTTACCCATTTATATCAATATATAATGTTAAATTTATGTTTCAATATCTATGTAATTTCGACTTTCAATATTTAATTTATGTTATTGTTTATTTAATATCCATGTAATATCAATGTTTCAGCTTATATGTTATATCTATGTATCAAGATTGCTATTTTGGTATTTCTATGTTTCAATGTCTTCAATATTTCTGTATTTTTATATCAGTCAGTATTTATTTTAGAAATGTACTTTCGAAATAGTTCATTAGATATATTAGAAAATACATATCCGAATTCACTCCAAAAAATATTTTCCGTAACTTCAAAAATAAATTTCCGAAATCATCCGAAAAAAATAAAATATAATACATTCGAAAATACATTTTCGAATTTGGGAATAAAAATAAAGTTTTACCTGAAGTGATAAAAAAAAGTCCTC